AATTAACTTTGGGCGAGTTCTCTAAATCTAATCGCCACTTGCTGCGACTCATTCTCCAAGGCATATTCGATAAGATTAGCAATTATCACCGCTAACGAATCTTGGTAATGAAAAAATGACTGAGGTGGAACTTGTTGACTCCGCCTCATAGGCGGAGTCAGCTTATCGTTGCTGAGCTGTCGTGCTTTTATCAAGCGCTTTTGAGCCGCGAAAAAGGGATATCCGCTGTGACCACAAGCTCCGCCATCTTGTACTCTAAAGGACTTCTGCACCTTGGTTGATCGCGGACGCTGTCTTTAAGTAAATGCAGCCGGCGGGTTCGTTCCAGCTCTTTTGAAACCGCCGCGACCAATGGCGTTAGTAGGCGTGGCTGCTCACTTCAACCAGACATGGTGTAATTGTGCTTCTGGTGACACATTTTCGTTTCTACATTTTTTTTTCATGTCTTCGCCCAACGCTGAATGAGACAGTTGTCTCAAGCTGGCATATCTCACAAGTGACCATTCTATGCCCCATTCAAATGCTACGCCTACTCCATTAGGGACGAAGGGTGTTAGAGAGAGCGACAGATTTTTGGCATGCTGTTTGATCTAGCACTTTTCAGAAAGGAAATGTTTCATGACCACATTTCAAAAGAGCCTGCATTTCAGACCAATACTAATACGTTCTTTAAAGTTCGTGTGAAGGATGGCCAATTGTACCAACTATCTAAATTCACGCGAGACCAGTTCGTGTCGTATTTTCTTTGATTGCCATTCACGATGATCTTGTGTTGTGTACGTTAATTGATCAACTTTTTCTAAAGTTGAAAATTGACGCTAGTCGTGCTTTCAAAGGATGCTCGTGCCATCCGCTCAGTAAAGCAGTTGCAATTACAACGGGACACCGGTAGCCCCTCCTGACACCAAATCAGTTTCACCTCGACACCTCAAATCTAATTCTCCAGTTCTACTCGAATTAACAACAAAAATTAATTAAGTAAACAAACTTTCTCTGAAGGCAAGCTACCTAACTAATCTTTCGCGACGGATGAGTACCTGTAACTTCTACGAGAGCCTCATTCGATGCCGAAAATTGAGCGTAGTATGGTTTTATCGCTCTGAGACAGGCAGGTGATTGAGGAATGTTCTCTGCTTCAGCGGTTCTGAAAGTGTTCAAAGCTTTAAAAAGTTCTCATTTCGTACATGAGCCTCAGTGTAGGTAACCAATCAAGTTCAGAGTTAATATGCACTTATTCATAATAAGTGACTTGAAGCGGTGAGACTTCCAATGCTTCCAAATAAAAAAGGTAATGAAAACTGAGGTCTGCTTTGATCAGTCCCAGGATTGGGTCTTCAAGGCAGAGCTCGCGTTCAAAAATGATGAACTATGCTGGTCAAGAGCTAATGGCGAGGTAGTAAATGATCTAGCACTGAAGAAGCAAGCGGAAACAAAATCCCGCCGGAATGCGTCATATAGAACCCCACCCCGAATAAAGCAAAGAAAGTGCGTGAGCGGACAAGTCTTGTTCGCGCAGGCTTTTTCTCCTTATCACCTCGCTCACACCAGTCGAAATGGAGATAGTCTGTAGCGGAAGAACCGTACCATCGCGTTGCAGTTGAAAGTGAAGGAAAGGCGTCACGGCAGTGGGCGGGACAGCAGTTTCTTCCTAAGCGGGCAGCTCTTTCCTTTCGTATTTTCGAGCAGCAAACTTTGTACATCCTCCATCAATGTAGGAGGGGGAGGCAACCATTTCCAAAGAAAACGTGGGAACATCATCTGAACGCAGGCTTTACCTTTATTTGTGACTCAAATTAGCGATTGATTGATCTGGCTGTGTTCAAGAATGAACCAAGTAGAAGTGGCCATTTGTGGTGAAAGCTGCACCATCAGATGCTTTTGCTTACAGTGACCTCGAATCTGCTTTCAAAATCTGCCGAGCTTTAAGATGAACGATGTCAGAAAAGTGTTGTCACAGTAATGGGAGAGGTAGCGAGAGATGTATGAAGCAATAATGTGTTTGCTTCGTAGACACGTCTGAGAATCGATTCCTTTTTCGGTTTGTATGTTTGCTTCTCAGAAACGTTCTCAGAAAAGGATCAACAGTGCTGCAACATCGTCGCTTACCTATACATCCATATTCAAATGATGTGCAGTTCTCGATAATGTGCACCGCTTGCGGCCTAAAAGAACTTAAGCATGTCAGCGCTTCACAACGCACTCCTCGAACGTTTAGGAGCTCAGGCAGCGTTCAGACTTCGCGACGGCAGCGCCTCGGTCACGCGTTTCGGAGCGATCGATGCGCATGCTTTCAACTGCATCGATCGCGTCGAACGCGAGACCGAAGCGCTGCCGTCGCGAAGTCTGAACGCTGCCTGAAACGCAGGGCTGGCCGCATAAATGTTTGGTTACATGGTTAGTCTGTCCAGGACGGCGCCATTTTGGTGGAAAAGTGAGAAAGCGAGAGCGTTGGAACGGTCATAAAACTACCAGGAAAGTTTCTTGCTCTACAAAACTAAAGCAAGTCTTCTTGTTTATTCGTCTCGTGCCCAAATCTCCCTGTCTCATTCGGAATTGGCTACAGCTTGCATAGGGGCCGCTCTCAACAAAAAATCGTCACACTACCTCATCATTGTTCCCCTTTTTGAATCAAGAAAAGCTGGAATTGGCTGAGGTGTTGTTCCAAATGTAAGGAGCTGAGTTATCATGATGCGAACATGACACTCTTTTGGACGAAAACGTATCTGGGTACACGCTCCGATAGCACTCCGGAAAGCCTTCATACCTAATCTCAGAGAAAAGCCGGCAAAGTCTGAAAGCATATTCGAAATCAACACTAGAAAATAGATCTGGTGATGTAGGTCTCATCACAAATGGTCACTTCGACATGGGGGCCCTCCCTTGTGAGGTCCATTTACCCCCATATCTCTGAAATGCGCGAGGCGTGTCTTCGTACTAGGTCGTGAGCGCAGGCACAGGTGCGTACCAGTAGACATTTCCGGTCCAAAGATGGTCGAAATGTGTGTCCACTTTCTCTTGCGCCGTCCGGCTCCCTCTGAACTCTCTGCCTGTGACTGAACCAGGTGCGCCCGTCTCGGACACGCCCTCCCATTTTCGTGGAAACGATGAGCATAAACGTTTTTATTCTCTTTTAATAACAGTATCAATAAATACAATCAACCTAGAAAATATTACGCGGTCAACATACATTATGAACGGTGAATATAACTAGTGAAGATCAACAGCGACTGACTGATTTCCGGTATACATATTAGTGCTGATGCACATTTGTCGATCAATACCAATCAATATTAATCGATTGGTGGGCGAGACTATCTACAGCTACAAGGGCAGAATTCAGAAGCGTGAAATCACAGCACCAACATAAAAGAGCAAATGAACAGCGTATGAAATGAGCGACGCTCGTCAGTAAAGGCCTCTTCATGACAGAGACAGACGTTAAGCAGAAATATTATCGACCAAAAATCAATATTAATCAATTATTAACCAACATATTCCAAACAATTATTAGCATTAGCCACTATTTGGCCTAATTCGGCGATTATAGACGAAATACTGATTTGAACCGATCAATAACAATCAATAACAATATTAAAACAATCGATTAGAGTGAAAGCATAAAAATTGTAAGCAAAGCGATCTGAGTGAATATGACAAGGCATGCGAAATCAATCAATACTGAACAGTCGCTTCAAGACCTTTAAACTATATAAGTCAGAATAACAAGGCATTTTGCAGCAGTACCGGACGACTAGAACCTATCAGAAGGCAGGACACAGCGGGTCAGGGTGAGAGTTGAGTCAGACATGGTTAATCACTTCGAGGCAGTTCTCAAAAATTCGAGAATCGTAGAGCTGGAGTACTAATATAAGACTGCTTTTCATATTAGACTGCTTTCGCATTTACAATGCCACCGTGAGCGCGTAAAATCGATAACGCATCCAGAACTACACAAAAAGGCGGAATGCAAAAGCAGTCTCACAAACAGAAGCGTAAGAAATGAGACGTAAAATAGCATGTGCTACCCGAATATGCAGACATGTAAGTAAGACGACGACAATGGCAAGTCTTCAAAAGATTAAGAAACGGTCGATTAGAAGTGCGTAATCATGACGGAAAGGAACTGACGATCATTCGGTCCTCCTCCGTTGCTTGACTTCGGCTGAGGATGAACATCCATGTGCTGCCACTCACCACCTTCACCTGCTTTCAGTGAGAATGACCACTGACCATCAGAGTCCACGGGGCCACAATGCGGTAGTCGAAGTTCGCAAGGAGTTAGGAAGGTCAGTCCTAAATGGGAGCAGTTTTTCAATTATGACGTCATTACTAAGTAGTAACACAAGAAAAAGTACCTTGCGGACCACACATCACAAGTGGAGAGAGCAGAGCTTCTCCTTTGGATTTGTCAATCGGGGGCGAATCACCGTCCCGGCATACCTACAACGAACATACTGCAATTTCAAAAGGCGTTTCCATTATCGATTCAGTCAACTCGTGGCTCTGATGCACAGCGTATATCTGAGAGAATTACAGGGCGTGGCTGCGACGGCTCTTGAGGTACAGACGGAAAAGAGGCGAAGACATACCTATGAGAGGGAACGGTCGGCATGGGAATACGCAGCCGTTGCAAGAACGCCCCGCTTGCCCTCAGATATGCTTTGTAAATGGGGGATCGTACAGCAACGCTTCTCTGTCCTGAGTCTCAGACTTTGCAATGACTATGTCTGCTCTGCAGGACTATCCGCGGATGACTCTGGTCGTCTGTCCTATAAGCTTTAGCCTTGGTTAGAGGATAGGACATAAATTCGCCGCTTAGTGGTCCTCTCTCAACCATGTTAGCGTCAACCTCACTGAGGCTGTTTCATTGAAGGAAACAAAATTATCGTCCAACCGTAAAGACATCAGCCAGGATTTTGCTGGATAAGCGGGGCCGGGAAACCACGTCCTTAGAGCGTGTTCATACATTGCCGATTCCAGTCTCTCAAATTCGCAACGGTTGCTTTTTTCAAATCAAAAAAGTAACTATCAACAAAGCG